TCTTCCTGCAAACCACGGCTCTGTGGAATCGACTCCCAAGAGGATGTTTCCCCGATAACTTAATCTTAACCTTTTCAAAATATTCCCCTCCTATAAAGTACCCCTTATCGTAACTCTCTACGTCGAGAGACCCCGGGACTTGTACAGGGTGAATCTTCCTGTAAAAAAGAAAATTCAATAAGCTTATTTCCAATACTATATCTATTATAACTGATCCTTACACCGAAGTAGTTAGTATTTGTGAATTCTGGGTCCTGAATTTTTATGATGGTTTCAGGTTACGTGTCATTGCTGTCTTCATTCCAATTTCCGATCATAATTTATGTTTTGGAAAAGTTTATCTTAAGTTTTACTTCTTGGAACACTTGGTAGATTTTGTGATGTCAACGAACACTCGTTGCCACTCGTTGCAACTTTTGTGATATCAGTGAATACATTCGTAATGCTCCTTGTAGTAAAGACTTTATAATCGCAGATACAACTATAGTGACGCCGTTGAACAATGCTGGTATCAGACGCCTTCGAATAATGCTCGCACTAATAGTACTTGCTCGATAATACTCGCTCGACAAGTAACCCGTATAGTGATCTGAAAATAGATATAGTATAGTGAATAGCGTAGAGAATAGCGGTTAGTATAGTAATAGAGGATAGACTAGAAATGAAGATCCGAATAGTAATAGAGGATAGACTAGAAATGACGATCCGAATAGTAATAGAGGATAGACTAGAAAGGGAGATCCGAATAGTAATAGAGGATAGACTAGAAATGACGATCGTTAGTCGTTAGCTACTTCCTACTTATATGCGTTTCCTCTATGGTCACGTGGTCTAATTAATTCAATAATGAGATCGCCTGTGTTTGCTCACTGGCGATCTATGTTCAAACTCAAGTGTCGGCAGCGACACTTTATACCTATATAACAGCAGAGAATGTTGATTTTGTTTTGTTCAAAATCCATTCTATCCTAACTATGAATACCTATGCCATCAGCATAGAATCCCTCATTTTCAGTACACTGACTTCTGGAGGAAAAATAGGAACGCTGTTTTCTATTAATAAATCTAGCTGCGTCACTTACTTTATAGATATCAGTCCTCTAACTTTGGAATAATAATGTTCTTTTTCGTAAGGTTTTCCCGATAATATTACTTTGCGTATACTTAAACCATAATTTTTATTTAAATGTTTCCAAAGTGTACAAGGCCCAACAGCCACTCAGGGTAGAGGGTTATAGATTAAGAGGCTCAGTTTATATATATTTATTTATTATATATATTTATTATATATACATATTTATTTATTTTTTAGATATTACAACAAAACGTAAGAATCGCTACACCATTGATGTGGTGTTGCAACGCATAACGATGCGTCTCCTCAAGCGATTGTTAATCACTGGCGTGTGAACGATTAATTTGGTTTCAAAAGTAAAATACATTCTCATTTTTTGAAAAAAGTTAAGGCTTGAGAGGTTTACCCTGATCAACCAATGGCCTACGTTAAGTTCAAACTAAACAAAAAAGAAAAAAAAATTAGAATTATTATCTTAGAAATGTGTCATGGCCAAGATTTGACATCTAACAACAACCAGACATTAACTTAAAGTAGGTGGGTAGAGAGGTAATTTAACCGAATGCCCAACTAGTTATAAGCTTTGTGGATTTCCTACATATTTTTTTGTAGTTGATAAATAAGAGTCTTTTTAGAAACTATAGAATTATTTGGTAAATAATATGCAACCGTTAAATAAATATCACCCATAGAAGATTTTAATAATATCAACCAATATCAACCAATCAATGTAAAATGTCAAAAATATTATCCAAATACCAATACATCCGTATAAGATGTTAATAATACTACCAGGAGATCAATACAGAAATAAATTAAACCTAAATTAATCATACAAATAGAAAGATTAACCATATATGGTGCAACATAGTTCAACTAAAATCTAAGAAAAACATTGTCAAATCCCAAAACTTAATTGAATTGTAAGGTAAAAGGTGGGCTGTGTTTGCTGTTAATTCGGATCTTTGATTTAATAAAGAATCCTTATCAAAGAACCAGATAATTTCCAATTTCTCATATAAACACAAAAAATAGGAATCATTTTTTAAATTTTCCATGTCACCTTAGGAATTTTATTATCATCTTTTAAACTCTAAATATATTAGAAAGTAATGCATTATTTCTATAAGTATTATAGGTGAAGGACAAAATATGTTGACACCTCCTAGATTTAAAAAAATTCTTAGTACTACCAATATAGCATTTTTCAACCGTCGGATTTTTTATTGTAGAGATAGTACTTAGGCAAACAAGAGATTTAGTTAAACATTTGTTTAGCAATAGCCATTGATCTGGATTCCTACAATTACATTGACTAGTACCATTAATAATATTTATCTTGAAACGTGCATTATGATCCAGATTATTAAATCGGTTTAAAATTTTATTATTGTGTAACATTATAATCTTCTCAAGATTATTGGTACAGCTATTTAGTTTTAATGTCTTTGTATTCAATATTTTACTAAGCGTGTTACTTTTAAGGAAATGTTTATCTTTTAAATGGAGGAAATTCTGGCCTAACTTAGTACCGACTAATTGGTTAAATGTTGGTGTGTATCAAATGATCTTCCTATTTCTATTTCTTTTCTCTGGACCACTATCATCATATTTTCTGTACTTGATTTCAACGTACTTGTAACCACTATTCTTTAAAACAGTATTAAAAATACCGCTATATTTATCAAACACATTTTTGCCCGATGAATGGTTGCTAATCCTACGTTCTACAAACGAAGATATATGATTGATTACAGATGGAGGGTGGTTAGAATTGGGCTGAATATACATTGGGTTGGCATTATTTTCCATATAAGATTGGAATACATTATTAACAAGATCTAATGTAACATCAAGAAAATCTACTCGTTTAATATTCGTAGTTATCTTAACCTTAAGATTTGAAATTAATATTAATGTATTTATTGAGCACTCTTTTAAATTAAACGTTGGAAGTGTACTCTATTCGTTCTCATCGTACTTGTATATATATATATATATATATATATATATATATATATATATATATATATATATAAATAGCCAGTATTTATCTAAACATATTTGATTAAAATGTACCGAGGTGCTCTGTCAGTTCAATCTTTTTATTATTTTCTTCCAATATTTTTCTAACTTTTTGTTAATTTTTTGAATTTCTGGATAAATTATCCAAAGTTCAGATTTTGTTGTTACTGTTCAAGCACTTCTATGGTACTTAGTATTCTTTAGTCTAGATCCTGGTATTTTTGGGAAGCTGGGTGTTTGAAATGGTCTAACATGATATATATATATATATATATATATATATGTGTGTGTGTGTGTGTGTGTGTGTGTGTGTGTGTGTGTGTGTGTTAACTTTTTTGCTCTAAGCAATGTTTGCCCCTTATTGCCATTCCCACTTGCTGTCCTGCAATACACAAGCTCATTAGGTAATTTACTCTTTGCTTCACTTTTTCTTGCCTTCCATGTGAGAGTCAAATTCTCCAAGCCCTCTTTTCTCATTACCTGACTGGCATTTTAACAGTCTCTTTCGATTTTCATTAAAAGTGTACTTTTTGTTTCCATTTTTCTTTAAATTTCATCGTTGTTCCCATTTTCCGCCCATAATAATTACAGCATCCTTCTTTTGCAGAATCTTTCTATCTTCTCTTCATCCGTGAGGAAAGTGTTCAGAATTCTCTGCTATATAGTAGGATTGGTATTACATAGCAGCTCAGCACTTTTTTTTTCTTTGTTTCTAATGAATTTATTCAGTTTCTTAATATTTTGTTTGACTTTTGGAAGGTATCTTTCATTATTCCAAGGCACCATAGGATTTCTGTTTTTTTTTTTTTTTGTTGGTGTTTTTTTTATTATTATTTTCTGTCGCCTGTGAAAACACTTCCCAGTGATTTCGGGTATACACGGCTGATTTTCAAATACTCCACTGAGCCCCGAGCTCTCTGGATTTAAGCCTCATTGTCCCTGTGATGGACATGTTGAAGATCTGACAATATTCCCAGGAACCAGAACCAACAAACACTAACAGTTATGGACAGCCTTAAAACGTGCTTGATAGAAATATTCACGAAACGACTCCACCAGCTCGTAAATTTTATGTCAATTCGCCGGCATTATTCAAGCGAAGGGTGACGATACATTAAGTTTCGTCATTTCAATTTAGATACATCGAAACGAAGAGAATTATATATATATATATATATATATATGTGTGTGTGTGTGTGTGTGTGTGTGTGTGTGTGTGTGTGTGTGTGGGAGAGAGAGAGAGTTGTGTGTGGCTGTCTTTGCGCGTGTATGTTTGTTCACACACATATACACCACTGCACGCGAATATGTATATATATATATATATATATATATATATATATATATATATATATATGAAATTTGGGATAGCAGCTAGCATTGAGGAAGCGGAGAGCCGAGTTTAAATTCCAACAGAAGCTATTACATTCACTTACGTGCCAATACCCTTCTTCTCATCACCGCCTCCATCTATGACTAAATAGGCGGACAGACTGGGATCTATAGTCTTCGGAGGCAACCGGTCTAGGAGAAAGTAACTCTGAATTCAAAACTGCATGTAACCCTGACGGAGAACATATTATACTGCTAAGGGAAGGATCGTACGCATTGGCTCGATGATCCCGACTACGGTCGACAAATGATGAAGAAAATTTTGAAAGCTTTTATTTTGACATATTTCACCGATCAAAAAATATCATCAGAAATATTATTTCAACAAGATTTTGAGGACGCTGTTTGATCGGCGAAAATAAAAGTTTTATTATTTATATAGAGAGAAGAGAGATAGAGACGAGTAGATGGACGAAAAACATTTTTAGTGGATAATTTTGTGAGTGTTTTTGGTAAAGTTTCATTTCTGTAGACAAATATATCTCATTTCAAATGTTAATATATGTACATATGTGTATGTGTTTGTGTATAGATAGATAGATAGATAGATAGATAGATAGATAGATAGATAGATAGATATTTACTTAGCTTTGCACAACTGAAGGGGATTGTTATAGGAAAATCATATCGCAACAGTTATTTAAAATCAGTACAAGCCAGAAATGTGGTCCTACAGAAGGATGCTGAGGATACCAGAGACAGTACCTGTGAGCAACGACGAAATTTTAGAGCAAAGAAAAACAGACAAGAGGACACTAACCTTGAAATTTCTAGAGTACAAAGTAAGAAAAGACAACTTAGAAAATTTGACACTCACAGGATATACTTAAGGTAAGATTGGCAGATGAAAAACGGCGCATAACCTATGTAACGTCTTTGTGTAAATGGTGTAAAGAACAGGAATTAGGAGAGACAGCAAAAAGTTATACTTTATTAAGAGCTACAAAGCGCAAAGAATTGTAGAGAGTTATGTTCGCCTCCATAGAAGAAGTTGCGTTCTGAAACGATATTTAGAGATGCATTTATTCCTGAGGAATTAACGGATTTGATTTTATTTTTATTCTGACATTATTTCGAATTTCTCTAAACATGGCACCACCAGTGAAATTTTTGATACTTAAGGTTTAAAATTATTTAAAAAAAAAATGAAAAAGTATTCTTGAAACTTTCATTTTAGCTTTAATTGAATGCTAAATGATTAAATTAACAATTTCCAGTAAGCAAAATACTCCGGTGTGTTTCAAATAGAAATTGTGTTGATTGGAATCTCAACTTGCTTGGTCGCTTTCACAAAATCAGCTATTCCTGACACTTTTGTAAACAAAAGTTAATTCTCGGGTTTAAAAACCTTCCAAAAATAAAATATACTTTCTAAAATTTTATTTGAGGAATATTAGCTGATTTAATGTATAATTAATCTGATTTGAAAAATAAATTACTTTAAGTTTACAATAACAGAAAAATGGATTTTTAAACAAACGGGAGCAGTGATTACGCGCTTATCACCATCGCTTGTCATTCATAAATCACTTAAAAACTGATGATAAAATCTACCAGCACCTTCATTGTTGTTCTACGGAGACTTTATCTGTTAAAACATAATTTAAGAAAATGATGGTGAGTACTTTTTTTATATAATTTTTAAGTACTCAGTAATCTTTAAAAAATGATGGAAAATATTCTCCGTAATCTAATTTTACGAATGTTGAATGCAGATTTACTATCGTCATCTTTCTTATTTTCTGATTATCGACCTTACTTTCAAACAAGGGCAAGTTACGCAATATTTTATATACATAAAAACGTTTTTCAAAAATTTTGGGTGCAAACGACTTTTATTTACCTTTTCAATTTTTAATTTATAAATATAGTTTTCACTCAATGACAATATCATGTAACCGGATTGAAGTAGTGCAGAATTTTAAAAGATTCATAATATTATAAATTATTATAATTAACGTTTTTAAAAATGAAAACAATTCTTGTAAAAATTAATTATTCATCGATTTTTTTCTTAAGTCAATAGTGGCCTTAATAAATATTATCTATAAACGCAATTAAAAGCTTTTCTAATTAAATAATGTTATAATTTTATTGCATTTTTTATTCTACAATTTGGAACATATTTTTTTGGAAATGAGAGTAGTCTGAAAAGAAAATTGATGATTCAGATTCTCCAAGGAATTATGCTTTTAACTAATAAATCAATTTTTGCGATTGCAATTTAATTTCTCGAAATTTCATAAAAATAAGTAGGTGTGGGGTAACATAAGTAAAAAAAAAAAATATGAAGATTTTCAAAAATAATTTCAATCATTTGTGAATAATGCTGAAAGTTTTACTAAAAGTGACAATTATTTGGTTTTTGCAAGAATTTCCAAATCAATGTGTTTTTCATTTGAAATAAAAAAAAAAATAGGCACTAATGGCAAATATTACATCGACCGCTGACGTAAAAAAAAAAATAATCAAAATTTCGAACGTGATACAAAGGATAAAAAAAAAAATAATAAAATAACTAAAAAAATACTTTGGTCGTTCCTCTTAATAATAACAAACATTGTGGCGATAAAACTTTGTTTTTATTAAGTCTGGGGCCTTTTTTCCTCATACTATGCTGAGCTTTTTTTCTTTTTCTTTTTTCTACGCGCTATATTTGGTGAATACACATATTTGAGTCGACGCCCTATTTGTTGATTTTTTTAAACAATGTGAATGACTATTTACACTATTTACATTCTTCAGACTGTTGTTTTCATCTATATTGTCATATTAACGATGTTTCGACCGTTGTACCCTCCGGCTTTCTTCGGGTGATGTACGTTGGAATTTAGAACCGATTCCTTTATTTCGTAGACTGGGTTAGATTGTTCTATAGAAATAACTGAAACTGGGATATTCAGAAAAGGTATGGCACGTGGAACTAGAACAGTCTCCATCAGTCTATGAAAAATGGTTCGATTCGAAATTCCAACGTATATCACCTGAAGAATTTCGGAGCGTACAACGGCCGAAACTTTGTGAATATGACAATAAAGATAAGGACAACAGTCCGAACAATCTAAATAGTGTAAATAGTTACAATACCTCATCTCAGAAATATAGAAAAATGTGAATTATATCTACCGGCCTGTGCATTCGAAAGACTTAATATAGTCAATGTGCTCTCCGGCAGTTATCAGTAACTGGATTCTTTGTAGAAGAAACTTTATTATGGCTCTCGAATGCACAGATCTGCAGACGTAATTGACGTTTAAAAAACAACAAAGAGTAATTAGACACATTTATATAATATATATATATATATATATATATATATATATATATATATATATATATATATATTAAATTGGTATAATAATGCATATTCAAAAACAAACGCGTAGGTGTATATATGAAAAAGTATTGGATATTTCTCGGCCTGTTCCAAAAGTCCATCTACGAAAGGATGTTCGGTTATTTCTTCAGCTTTTAGAGAGCCATGATCGTCAACGTTCTGAAGGTGCATGGCACAAAGAAGAAAAAGAAGAAGAAGACTCTCGACTTCTATCTGATATCGAACACTGACCACTGAATCCGTTTGGAAAGGCACCAAAAGTTTACCTTCAATGCAGGCCCAGAAAAAATATATAACAAAAATGGTAATTTTTTTGTTTTAGAATGGTTGTGCGGACATTGCAACAATGATAGCTGGCTTTGGAAGATTGCATGAATTTATTGGTACATAGCAATCTTTCATGCAAACAAAACAAACTATCATTGTTGCAATGTCCGTATAACAAACCTAAAGCAAAATAATTACCATCTTTATTATATAATTTATTATTTAATTTATTGTAATGTACTTGTAATCTCTAATGATGGCTTATGTAAGCCGAAAGCTTAGACAGGATTAACAATAAAATCATGTATCAACATAGTGATTTCTTTCGTGTTTCAGTGATAATGCTAAAAAGCTTATCCGACAATGAAAAACTTGTCTATATTATTTAATGAAACATGCATTAATATATATATATATATATATATATATATGTGTGTGTGTGTGTGTGTGTATGTGTGTGTGTGTGTGTGTAAATATGATTTAGTACTCTGAATTTCGTAAATTTTAAAGTCATTAGTCGGCAGATCTTTTGATAAGGGTGAAAAAAATATAAAAGAAATTACGAAACTCATTGACGATATCGATTGATTAATTCAGTAATTATTGCTCTAGTCAAACATCGATCATTTTATTGGCAGTAATTCTGTTCATCGTGACGTACGTTAAATTATATAATGTTACGTATATTCATTGGTAGAAATATTATTTTATTTTATATTTAATTTTATATTATATTATTTTATTTTGATCCATACATATATATATATATATATATATATATAATTGGGATCAGATATATAAAAAAATTGATTGGAATCAGACGGAATGATAGGATAAGGGAAAAAAAAAATTTGAAACGTTTCCTATTTGTTCATATATATATATATATATATATATATATATATATATATATATATATATATATATATTGTGTCAGTTAGTTAAATTTCAGTGATCAACTTTTCAAAATTACGAATAATCTTTCTCCGACACTGAGAAAAAGGATTATTTGTAATTTGGAAAAATCGATCATTAAAATTAATCGATACGTTTTTTTAAAATAATATTTACCTTAATGAACAGCTTTTGACTAAATGCACATAATCTATCTATCTATATATATATATATATATATATATATATATATATATATATATATATATATATATTAAGGCATTCTATGCTTATACATTCTTTTATAGATACAAAAAAAAAAAATAGATAAAAAAGAATGTATAAACATAAAATGTCTTAAAATAATTGTCGGACTTTATCCATTTCATAATGTGTGATATATATATATATATATATATATATATATATATATATATATATATATATATATATATATAATGAGAGAGACAGAGACAGAGACAGGAGATAACTTTTAAACGTTATTTTTTGTGAATATACATATTTGAATAGATGCTTCTTTTATTTTAAAAACTATTTTGTAATGCCTGAGGGGCATTTTACTCAAGATCTCTGGAATAGACGAGATAAAATGCCGATTTAAATAAACGGAGCGTCTATTCAAATATGGGTATCAATAAAATAACTACTGAGATTATAAAATATGCATTATTTCTCTATATAACACACACACCGAGGAAAGGAATATATATATATACATATATATATATATATATATATATATATATATATATATATATATATATATATATATATATATAAGTTATGAAGAACTTGGTACTCCGTATCGGTAGTCCCAAGGAGGATGAAATCCTAAGAGCTCAATGTAAATCCAGAGCTAATATTTTAAAAGAAAAAAACAAACCACTTTAAGTTTCCATTATAATAATTTATTTCACCAGAGCTCTTTTAAAGGACGTTGGATCATCAGATAGCACTTCCAAAAATGCTATCTGATGATCCAGTGTCCTTTTAAAAGGGCTCTGGTGAAATAAATTATTATAATGGAACCTTAAAGTGGTCTTTTTATCTGTTTTTATATATATATATATATATATATATATATATATATATATATATATATATATAGTGTTTCTCCTCAAAAAGATTAACGATTTATTAGGGGATTTCTGGAAGATAAGGTTTTAAGTGAGTCTTTGCAACTAAATTGTTCAATATCAAGACATTAATAGTAATTACTAATGTTAAATTTTTTCTTGTCTTTGTACTGAGTTTAGCGTTCTCGGCTGGAATTTGAATTCGACACACCAATCCCAGGTCTTCCTTTGATAGCCACTATGGTACGCGCACATCCATTATAATGGTTGAGGTGGCAGGAATCTAAATTCGTCGATATTCTTAGTATAAGTCGGTTGTAAATTCGTATCTACTCGAGTCAACTATATATATATATGTGCGTGTGTGTGTGTGTGTGTGTGTGTGTGTGTGTGTGTGTGTGTGTGTGTACTAGCGCGCGCAAGCGCGTGGATAGATGGAGAAAAAAACCTAATTCAGACAATGCATCCAATTACCCTATTCAAAAGATAAAACGCGTCGGATCTATGTAACGGAGTAACACCAAAAGGCAAATGAATTCAAATGTCGACGCTACCACCAAGCAAAACGACGAAAGGGTTCCCCGGCAGGATGATTACTTTCTATGTCCAATACTCAACTCGACGAGGTGCAGCGACGCTCGAACAATATTCTTTGGTCGTTTAACGTTTTGTAGCAATTACTACTGTTCAGGTTATTTTGAATCCTGGCCAAGAAAAGGGGAAATGACACTGCACAGAAAATCTTCCGAAAAACGAATTCCGATTCATATGTTTCGGACGACTGTGGGCGCATCTGCTGTTCGTCGTAAATACACGGCCACAAATAGGTTCCCGAGATAGCTAACTATTTCGGGCGATGCTATATTTGGGTAGCTTAACGGGTGACGTTTTTCGATTTATCTAATAGAATGATCTTGCTTCAATAATAACATCTCAAGTGAAGTCGGAGAAAATAGATAGATAGATAGATAGATAGATAGATAGATAGATAGATAGATAGATAGATAGATATTGGATGCAAGGAAGAAATAATTTAACAGTCTAGCTAGCTTTAACCCTCAATGGAACATCGAATACTAACTGGAGAATCCTGCTACTGCCTTAGTCACCAAGTAACTCCGAAACTGACTTAGAAGATCAGAGATTTTATGGCACGTGAATGTATAGACGGCTTGTCTGACGCCTTTTTTTCCTTGGTTCGAGTAACTTCAATATCGGCATCAAAACAGTGATGTAGGAGGCAGTGGGAATATCTTTGGGTTAGCAACTTTAGGCAGTTGGATGACATCTCATAAAACTTGATTGTTATACGAAATGTTGTGTGCTATCATTATTGATTTATTTTGTTGTGCTAATAACCCTTTTTTTTTCAGCTAAAAAATAAGGCGGAAATCGCTTTCAACGTAAGGTTTTCTGCAGGAGATTTGTAAGCATTATCTTACTGAAAGCTTTGGACCTAGTGTTCATGTAAAATCAATGCAGGTCAGGTGGTAAGTGGTTTACGTGTTTGTAAAAAGCCTGTCGACGATTGGATTAAATATGTAAAGTAGTATTACGACGAGTCAACATTGAAGGAAGGCTCTGATAATCCCTTGTTACTAATAATTCCGATGAATGTATAAGTTATAAATATAATACGAAAGATAACTATTTTGATTTACACGTTGATATCTCATTATTCTTTCATATTTTAAAGTTTGATTTATTTAAAATAATAGCGAATAATATGGGAAATGTCAGAATTGTCATTTTGTTTGACATCGCTAAAATCACTAAGCGGTGTTAATGGTACGCTGAGAATAGTAATTATAAGAATAGTGTTGACTGTTAGATGGAGGTCAAAAGTACAACAGCAGTAGATTGTGATAACAGGGTTGGGTATTTGGGTTATCGGACATTTTGCCAGAAAATATGTATAATGTGTAAGTTTGTTAATCACAGGGAGCTGCGTAAGGTAAACTTATTCGTCACTGTTAATGGTGTCAGTACTGGTGTGGTTGTTATGACGGATTGATTAGCCTAAGGAGAGTTCTGGTATGTCTTAATCATCTAAAAAGAAAAGATCCGCTCATGACACTTCCGGTTAATTATCTTTAGCTGTGTTTCTGATTGGATGGAAATATTTCTTATGATCCTCTATTAATTTTTTATGTTAATCTAAATTGCTGTTTCAGTCCGTATGTTAAAAATGTGACTTCTGATTTTCTAAGAATGTAGTTGCCTGATAAAGTTGCTTTAATTCTGATGCTCAGTTTTCACTTCCGTTTAATAATGAATAAGTTCGATGGAATGATGAATTCCTCAATGATGAAGAAGAGACTCGAGGCGACAAAGATTTGCTTCTACAGAAGGATGCTAAGGATATCATGGAACGAGCGTGTGAGCAACGATGAGGCCTTAGAGAGATTGCAAACAAGGAGGAGGTTTATACTTAACATTAGGAAGAGGCATCTGAAGTTTCTGGGATACATAATGAGGAAGGATGGTCTGGAGAATCTGATACTCACGAGTCGAATAGAGGGAAAGCGAGATAAGGAAAAACAATGCCTGACATACTTGTCAAGCTTAAGAAAGTGGATGACAGAACGTGGTCTGGGAGAGTAAGCAGAGGGAAGGAACTTGTTGAAAGATTCAATGGATAGAGGAAGGTGGAGAACCATCATCGCCTACGTCCTGAAAGGACATGGCACATAAAAAGAAAGAGTGTGTGTTTCTGATTGAACCGAAATGTTATTTTTTTATATTAATCTAAATTGCTGTTTCAATCCGTATGCTAAAATGTGACTTCTGATTTTCTAAGAGTGTAGTTGCTTGATAAACTTGCTTTAATTCTGAGGCTCAGTTTTCACTTCTTTTTTATAATGAATAAGTTCGATAGATGAAAAGCAATATTAATTCGTGTTTTTGTTGGTAGAAGTTTGAATTTTAGAAGATTAATTTATATATTAGTTGTATCCTAGTGGAGTAATGGATAGCGGCTCGGATTGAAGAATCGGAGAGCCGAGTTCGAATTCCAGTCGAATCCATTACATTCACTTACGTCATAATACCCTTGGGAAAGATATGAATCCTCTTCTTCTCCCCCCAACTATGGGTAAATAGCAGAACAGACTAGGTTATATAGCCTTAGATGGTAAATGGTCTACCGCAGAAATATATGGCAACCTACTGCGGGAAAAAATCGAAAGATACATGATCGCCTAAGCGTGTATCACGCATGGCACATAACTGAGTACCTTGAAAATTTCAACGTTTTCCTATTTTAATTTAAGATTCATTATAATATTTAAAGAATAAATAAGCACGTTGCAAATTCCACAACTATAAAAAAATCGTGGATCTTCCCTGGCTACGTCGTTAAATATCTAAGCTTAACTACTTCACTACCAATAATTTTGAAAAAACGTTTCATTTTCAGACGAGATTTTTTTATTTATTTGTTTTTAATACACTAACTGAGGCACCCTAAAGTAACGGAGCGGAGGCTAGTACCTCTACGGGACGTATGATTTGGAAATTAGACTCGTTTCAAGCTCAGAAAGGGCATAAAAAGAATCAAGATTTGGAGCTAGTTTTTGAACGTTATGTCGTGGACGTGTTTATTCGTCCGTGTCTGAAAAACGTATATAAATGTCTACTCTAAGAAAGGGATTAAAATCTTTCACCAAACATTGCAATAACAATAAATAAGTATGGATGCGGATAATTATTTGAAGAATTAAGAGGGTACGGATATAAAAAATTTAAAAGTGACATGGTTTTCCATTTCACTGAATTAAACGTTGAACATGATTAAATATACTATCTTCGATTTCTTTCTTTTTAATAATCATCCCCCAATCCCAGCCCCAGCATAAAAAAGTTAATAATATGCTAGGGTTTGTTGAAACTGAAAGGAGATAGGACAATAAAAGAACAGGTTGGAGGCAGAAGATGACGCTTAACATTGCATTTAAATTTTTGAACATTTTAAGTTGACAAGAAAACGGAAGAGAACTCCATAAGCGATAAATGTAAGAGAGAAACTATTAGCATAGAAATTACAAATAAAAATTTCATTAGTGAAATTATTATATCTAGCTACTAATCAGACCTGACATCTTGGCATCAGTCAGTTCTCCACTGCCGTAATGTTTCTGCCTTGTGCCTTTTCTATAAATATTTTCATAGTAATTGTTCTGATAAACTGTCCTCTATGGTACCTAGACTTTGTGAATTTAAGCGCACTATTAGATTGGCGACAAGGTCTAATCATTTAATATCTGAAATGGTTAGATGGAACCGTAAGTTCTTTGTTAACAGTTTTTTCTCGCGCACTTATCGCTCAGATACCTCGATTGCGGTCTCATGCCTTCCAGTCACCTTTGATCTTCAAAAATTTAAATGCAATATCAATCGTTGTCGTCTGTCTTCAGTATCTGTCTATATTTCTGAGATGAAGTATTATGTACACTATTTACATTACTCGGACTATTGTCCTCATCTTTATTGCCATATTTATCACAACGTTTCGGCCGTTGTACGCGCCGGCCTTCTTTAGGTGGTTGGAATGTCGAACTGAAACCTGTATTTCGTTCGCTGGAGTAGACTGTTCTAGTTCCACGTGCCATGTCTAATGAATGCCAGGTATCAGTTATCTCCTATTAATTCACCTCTCCAAGTTCTCCACTGGCTTAACTAGGTATTGAACTCACAACTCTTTCGGTCCTGTCACTGGATCTAACCAACGTCTTTATCCATTGTGCCATGTGTCCTTAAGGACCCATATTTTCGGTGTATCGGGCCCGTACCGATCCTTCAGTCTATAAGGACACATGGTACAGTGGATAAATAAAGTATAGACAAGATTACAGAAATAATAAATGAAATTTACAACAGTAGTGATATACCGGAATACCTAAGCAAATCTATTTTCATGGTACTACCTATGAAACCAGGCGCAAACGAATGTGAACTCCACCGAACAATCAGCCTAATGAGCCACATAACAAAACTCATCAATCGAATTCTGATGAATAGAGTGTGCAGCAGAATCAGGTCAGAGATAGGATAAGAACAGTGCGGGTTCGTCAAAGACACTGGAACAAAGAACGCGATATTTATGCTCAGAATGTTATCAGAAAGAACAATACAAATGTAAAAGGACCTGTGTACCTGTGTTTTATAGACTACGCAAAGGAGTTCGGCAAAGAATGCAACAAAGAGCTGCTCAGCAACCTTGTCATCTTCGGGAAAGACATTAAAATAATCAAAAAATCTATACTGGTAGCAAAAAAAATGAGTTCATCAGATTTACAAAAAGAGAAAGAGATGTAAGACAAGGATGTATCTTCACACTGGTCTTATTCAACCTATACAGTGAGGCAATTCTAAGAGAGCTAGAAATCCTACTAGGATTCATCATTGGCAGCCACAATCTTAATAATATAAGTTATGCAGATGACAGTGCTGATAACAGGCACAGAAACTTCCTACAGAAGGTAGAAAAGGAGAGCTAAAAGAAAGGACTAAGCATAAACTACAAGAAGACAGAAAGGTCATCAGAAAAAAGATGAGCCCAAAATGCAAATTATAGGTCGGAGATACTAAAATCAAGCAGTTACAGAAATTTAAATATCAGAGGACGGAAAGTGCGACACTGAGATCCGAAGACGTATTGGGATGGCCAAAGGCGCATTCCAAAAGCTAAGTAAAGTATTAAAAAACAGGATAATTTCATTGAAAACAAAGAAAAAATTACTGAACATGATATCTTTGTGTGGCAGTGAATAATGGACAATCTCCTCAAAGATGAAGAATAGATTCGAAGCAAAAGAAATGTCGTTCTATAGAACGATGCTAAGGATACCATGGGCCGAATATGTGAGCGCGATTATATCAGGAAGAGGCAGTTTTTGGAAAATCTGATAGACACAGGAGAGATAGAGGGAAAAATTGACCGGTGCAAGCAACGTATGACTTAATGGACTTGAGAAAATGGATGGCAGAACAGGGTTTGGGAGAAATAACAAAAGGACAAAACTTATTAAAAGCTACAAGTGACAGGAGGATGTGGAAGGCCATGATCGTCTACGTCCTGAAGGGACACGGCACATACAGGAAGAAATGCACTTTCGAATTTCTGTATCACTACTCCTTCATCTCATTCTACATTACCTAGTTAGTTAGGTTATTGCAATTGTTTGATTCTGATGTTTCTAATTCTGAGCTCACACCTGTCTCTCCTCTGAAATTTTCTGAATACAACAAATATATTATAAGGGCGGAGGTGTGAAAAGCAATTAATGA